TATACGTCCGTTATATTAGAGCTAGACAAACTACTTACAATAATATTACATTTATATAATCATACTTTTACTAACAAGAAACTGAAAGAAGAAAAAACTCCAAAGATGTGTTGGTTTAACTTGTGGTCTCGGGGAGTTATCGTCACCTAGCGGGTAAAAATAATAACAACATGGCTAATATTAAGTTTCGGATAATTTGATGAAAATCGGATAGTTAATACTAGCAGATCTGTTGAACACTCTATACAAATCAATCATTTATCGATGTGTTAACAGAACGACTACTATAATACCAGTTGTCGTCGGATGACGGTATTATGGGTTAAGTTTTTGGTGATTTTTGTTTCGAGGCAAGGGAGCCTCGCATTTTATGTTGATCTCAACTCTGGATCCATGGCACCAACTAGGACAACAGCTCATGCGAAATCTAATTCATGCTTGTACAAACCCAGAATTAACTGGTCATTGATATCTATTTCCGGACCCGTAACAAAATAGCGATCTCTACTAATTCCAGAAGCTGTCTGTTGTAGAGAAAGATTTTTGACTCTACACAATCTAATCGACCGTGTTTTGCCAAACATGTATAAATCAGCAATAAAAACAAATGTTTCTACATATATATCGACTCGCACAGACGATGGCGGTTAGTTATTTAAGGCCCGATACGTTTTGTTAAATCATCACTTTCAATTAATTTCTCCGAAATATCAGGGTATTTTAGTAGCGATAAGACTGTTTACAGGGATATATGGTCTCCGTGGGTTATGGCCAATAAGATTTATGAAATATAAACGATTAGCAAATTGCTTATTGAGCATTAAAGCTTTGCATGACCAAAGGCCAAACTATTTCAGGTTATTGCAGTGTAGGTTCCCTTTTCAGCTCGAGGTGCATCTCATAAGTTAGGTTTTCGATATACGTTATTTTAACCTTGATCAAAAAGCGTTCATAACCCGTACCGGTGAATGACCTTTGCAGGGGTCCCAACACAAACGTAAAGACGGATGAGTTACTTAATTTTGCACATTCCTATGCAAACAGTTATATCCACGCCTGGGTTAATATACTAGATTCTGGTAAGAGCCAACATATTAAGTACTCTAAAATGGCCTTTTCGAATTTGATTGCTTGCGAGTCGATATACATGCCGAGGTTAACCGCAAAAAGACTTGACTCGGCCTAGGCCGAAGCGATGAGAAGTGGTTTCTTTACGTCAGCATGAAGTAAGGAAAGTGATGGCTAGCTCTGCGACGTAGGCTCAGGCTTGAATTTGAGCCTGTATCCGTGATCTGCATTTGACTGCAAAGGTCTTGTGCACTGGAAAGTAAATGAGACGGTCGATCAGAATGTGCTTATAGCTTAATTTTATCAAGTAAATGAGTCTACCTAGCAAAATAGGCCCAAGCGACACGGCAAGATTTGTCCTCTTTGCGAGAGAGAAATGCAACAGCTTGAAGGGCAGGTTTTTTGGTCAGGCTGCGAGAATACGGATAATCGCCTCTTTTAATGGCTGGCAAATGAAATCGATAACAAGTACTATTTACGATGAAGAAAGTTGTAAAAACTAAGCACTAAATCTTGCAACAGTGGGCCGGAAGGCTTCTGATGAAACGAAATAAGTTAATTAATTGAGAGGTAGCGTAGGTCATATAGGGTGACGATGAGTATATTATCAATACATTTTTTGCTGAAATCCGACTAAAGTGCTGCTTTTTATAATCATTTTCCCTATTCACGCTGAATTAATGTAGTATATGTTATAAATGTGTCTATCGCTATATAGAGAAAAATAAAAAGAAAGAGGTCAGCCGATAAAGAAACTGCACAAACGATCGTCTAACAGAATATAGACAACGCCATAAGAGCCGTAGTGGTAATGTTTGTATGAATGGATGACACAATGGAGTATTCGTAGAGTTCGTGTCAAGGAGAAGCATTGGCCAACGAATTTACCTTATCATATAAAAAAGACATAAAGATTCGTTACTTTAGCAATTAGAGCACTAGTTTGTAGGGTCGAGGTTGGTCACCGCTAATAGCTATCGTGTAAAGCAGCTGAAAAAACAAGCTCTGGACAGTTCTGCCATTCCAAATCGAAGAGACCGCATCCTGTGTTGCTAAAGTTTCTTAGTAAGTTGCCACGTTCAGATGGGTTGTAGGAAGGTAGGTTATCTCAAAACCAAAAAGATGCGCACGTATAGAGATAGCTGCAGGTCGATACGTCGAGCGATACATATAGATAGCGCCTACTATTCGACCACAAACCTAACCCACTCGACCCTAGCATGCACATTTATAAGGGGAAAAAGGAGTGATTTAAATAGCTTTCATTTTAATTTAATGTTGCTTTCGTATATTAGTCATTATTAGATTACTGTTTAGAAAGGTGTAATAGGTTTTCCTTTCTGTGCCACTGTCGCAGAATTTTGGGAATGCGAAAGACTTCTCAAATAAAGTAGATTGATACTATAAGATAAGTAAGGGCCTCGTCCGTGTATCTCAAATTTAAAGAAAAAACGCTAGCCGTGGTAAGACGAAGAAGGATTGCCGGAAAAACCGCCTAATGCACTCTTAGCCAAGTCAAACGCTCTGGTAGCACACAATTCCACTTTCTGATACTACTACTACTGATAAAAAGGTTTTCGGAAGGTGTTGTGCAGGAAGTTGTTACAACTTCCTGCACAACACCTGGTCGGTCGAGAAGCTGAGGAACACCTCTAACGCTTTTGCTACAGACACGTTCCTGTCGGCAGGGCTGTAACTTTAGGGACCTCGCCACACCAATAAAACGAATTGCCAATCGATTGAGTTGCGAGTTACAGCCGGCATTGTAATACCCAAATACCCCTCTGATACAATCGATTTCGTATTGTTTCGTAATTCATCTTTATTCGCTTAACTTACTTGGCCGGCAAAAAAATTGGGTCCTTCCTTTCCCCGCCAACATAACCCATTATATTAGCTACTGTGTACTTTGTTCAATCAGGCGCAGCAGTAAACGGTATTGAAGTGCGGCACCTTATTCTGATCGGTCTTAGCCTTTCTCGGTCGGTAAGGTGGTCGGTCGATAATTCGAACAAGCTACTTATTATTAACTTATATTAAAGTACTAGATAGGTTTAAATGTGCCGAAGTTCGTATAACTACAGTGAAATGTATCGATGTTCATTCACGCATAGGGTGAGAGAGAACCATCGAAGATATCGCACAAGACGTTGCGCACGTCTTTTTCGTACAAGTTAATCTATTTCTTGTACGTTTGAAATAAGAACTACGTTCTATATTGTCCGACAATTTACGCGCAATTGTCATTAACTTAACGGATGCCTTCGCCATCTTGGCTTAACTTACTCCGTTTCACAGAAAATGCAATCTTATACATTAATAATACTCTGATAGTCGATTCGCTAAAGAGGGGCACACTACCCGATCTTTCCCCAGATTAGAACCCATAAGCTAAACGTTCTAAATAGCAAGAACACTTTACAAGAGATCGAGTGAATGTTTCGTCAGGGATGGCTGCCAAATGCCAAAACAGTGTCGTTATCAAATGCCATATAGAGCTACTTAGTAGACTGTCTGAATCAAACAGTATTACAAAATGGACGCGATAACCGGACACGCTACGCTTACGTACAGAAAGAAAATGCATTTTTTAGCAATAAATTGATTATTTTTCCGTGCCTTTCATGACGTTTTGCCGGTCTCAGGCACGATCCTCTCCGCACGGACAAGAAACCTGTACAGAAAATGCATCAGCTGACCGTCATTGCTATGTCGCGGTAGGCTCCTAGCGCTCGTTCGTGTTGACCCATCAGCTGATCGGGAAGTGTTTGTCCGTAACGCTTGCCATTACAATATTGTTAGTGGCATATGAAGACAAACATTGCTGTTGGCTAAGTAGGCGCAGTTTAAAGTATAAAAGTATTATAAGTTAGGTCGATTCCACAGAGGTTCGTGTTAATAACAGAATATATTATATAATAGTGGACACCTCCGAATATGAACAAGTTACGGACATACGCGATTCATGGCAGGACATTTGTCAAACGGACCTGTCTGGGAGCACAGTATTTAAAGGAGCATACGTCCTGCAATACGTGGGAAGTATCGGCCTTCAATAGATAGTCTAAGTGAATAGCACAGTTATAGGGAAAAAATTTTCTTTAAATCTAGATTGGAGTCTGATCGATGTGTTCTGTCAAAAATTGATGTGTGGATCTATGTGGATTCACCGATTCCCAGAGCTGTTCGTTTCCTAGTATCTGTGACCATGCTATTATTTTTTAGAGAAAAATTATTTAGCCTAACAAGAAAACCGCGGAAGTTACTTTCCTATGCAATACGAAATTTATGTTCATGGCCTAATACGAGTTATTTTAGAGTGGCCTTAAGTGCGTTCGTTTACGGATACGAAATTTACTTACAATGCGTTTCGCTAACAGGACGCAACGAGAAAGAGGATGACCCTGATGAAGGCGTAAATAGCTACGCCTTGGTTAAGCCGTAAGTTGATTTGGTAATAATTATAATAGAAGACTCAGTATTTACGAGTAGAACATAACAAAATAACTAATGAGAGAGAAAAACGCGGTAGCCGGTTGACATAATAATAACTGTTTAAAATCTCTGTTAAATACAACTACTATATGACACTAGGACTTATATAGCTAACTATTCTAACGTATATGTTTTTTCCTTTTATTTTCCAGTTGGTTGACATGAGATCGAGTCTGATCAGAACCAGTTTTGTCCATACTTTGAACCTCTCAAGATCTGACTGACTTCTCATGCAAAAGATGCATATTAGAAGGCTGAACCATATAGTTAAAGAAGAAATCTACCTTCAACGAGTTTGGGGCCGAGGTGCAGAACGACTCGATAGTATTCTACAACCATCAGCTTCTCTTACTTAAGGCTATATAGAACAATTGCCCAGTCAGGCAAGGCTCAATATTAACGAAGCTTGGTCTTGGTATTGAAAGGGAATTCTTTACCTGAAAAAAAAGCTCGTCCAGCCCATTCGACGCTGATGTCGTGGTTGGCATTCCAGATACCCCTTCTCCGAGCATCTTCAAGGATATAAAAGGGTGATGATGTGTTATCCTTAAACCATTTGATAGTCGTGGGTTCGTCATCGAGGTATGATTCGATGTCACATGGAAGACGAGCTGATCCACCGCGTTCCGCTTTGACAACTAAAAGTAAAGGTTAAATCAGAGCAGATGGCAAATCGTAGAATTACATTAGTCGAGTAAACACCCACAGGTTAGCATACGAAGTATTGCATAAAAATGTTTCCTTCACTTGTAAAATTCATCAAAAACGACAACGTCATGCACGTAAGTTATATAAACTTATCATGTTTCGCTGTCTAAACCCTCAACCTGGTTACTCAAAATAAGTTACTAACTTTTGGGCACCACGAACTAGCCCCAACATTGTTTTTACACAACGTATTTTATACTAAAATTAGCGCTGCAGCTTTACAGTCCAGTAATAATAGTATATGATATTCTTTTTTAAAAGCCAATTACTTTCAAGTTTAGCGAAATATATCGATAAAACAAATCTCAACAAAGAGATACTTTTTTTTTTTTTTTTTTTTACTTAAGCTTATGTTATAAGCTTAAATTAGTATTATTGTTGTGTGTAAAATCTACCATCGATCATTACTAAAATTTATTTCTGGCGAATTTCAGCATCTCACTTTGCGGTAGGTCGTCGCATTTCTTTTTAACGTTTAAACGTTTTTTTACTTGAGGTCTTATAACGTTCTAATGGAATGCAGTGAATGCACGGCCTGCCTATCTCACTAGAGCAGTTAACTATATCAGTAATTATCCACCTTAGCTAATATATCGCCTTCTATATTGAAATCGTATTCTACATTAAAATCGGTATATTTATAAGATCAACACCGTTGATGACCAATAATCTTCGTACATATAATTGCTTCAAACAATTTTCCATTGAATACAGTAAACGTAATCTGAGGATAGCAATAAAACTTGGAATAAATTTCAAATCACTCCAGTGTCATGACGTACTAGCAAAAATCGATTATTAAAATGATTTACTAAAATATTAACATAAAAAAAAATAAAAAACGATCCTGAAAAAAACAATTTTCTCCACAATAGAAGTATCTGCATTTGCTATTATAGATATAGATCGAAAAGATATTATCGAGAATATTTCTGTGTCGTTAAATTCACAAGTTAATATTTTTCTTAGTATTATTTATATAGTAGTATAGTTATTGGTATTATTAATAGACATATTCAAAAATAAAAGTTGAACTTTATTAAGTTTATTACGACTAAATTAAATTTAAATACTATAATTAAATTTTAAGTTAATCTTTTTTTAATTTAATCATTAAAATTTAAATTATGGTCATTTTTCAGATACTATAACCTCTCATTATGTAAATAATAATTGATTGTTTGGTTGAAATATCATTGCCCTTCTTATAAACATCTGGAGAAGCGAATGTCGGCGACATTTAACTACTTGCAAGGTCAAGAAAGGCTCGATAAAGCCTCTCCTACACACTCTTTCTCCACCTTAACTCGCCTTAACGCTCGCAAAATAAAATGCATGAACTTTTATCTGGAACTATACAGTAATTTTCCGCTTGAGTTACAGGCTAAACGGGGAGCAAGCCAAATATGAAAGCAGAAAACGACAGCAGCGTAACGGCCAGGCGGATATAAAGTAATAAATAACTAGTCCAACAGATATTGTGCTACGGGCATTGGTAATGTTTTTGCATTTGGAAGATTATCATACAGGCGCAACTCGTTGGCACCGTGCCAACGGGCGCGTTAGGCCATTTCCCCCCTGAGGGAAGCGCAGGAATTCAGGCAGGGTTCACAAGTTTCAAACCATGGATGCAGTATTTATTTCCCACGATTATGCTACATGTATATATCGTATAGTCATTTACGACTTGTTTAAATTCGATTGTTGTGTTTTTATGTCATAATTAGCCAGTTTGCCTCTTTTACTTGCAACAAATGCCTATCAAATCAATATAGGGGTCTTTTCATGCGCCTCCGTATTATTAGGCTACCTTTGAATATGCGGACAAAAATGGCGGACATTTATGTTACCTCTATCATTAAATAGCTGAAATATATTAATTGGCATCAGCACCAGATTACAGCATAAACTTTTTACAAGTTCTACTCATTTTGAATGTCATTGGGACCAGGCCCTTCCTTTTACTGTAAACGTGCTCATGCTCAATTCCCTATTTCGAAAAATAGCACTTTCCGAATTTCGAATTTGGTTCTGGAAGGTAGCATTACAAACACGTCGAATACTTTTGCCAAACTGAACGACCTGCCTACATCATCGAAATGATTTTTAACCCTGCTAAAAGGAGGCCCAATTCACTGTCGATCCTTGGGCTCTAAGTTGAATTTCCCCGGGGTAAGGTTATGGCGGCAGACCCAGGCAAATCTGCTACCGAGCCTTGTGAAATGCAAATCATAATAGCAGCTTTGTGTACCTAACATACTTTTCAAGGCAAACTTTAGCTGCGCATGGTATAACGGCGGTGGTGGCTTACTTTTACCTTGGAATTAAAAGAATTCATGAATAAAGAAATATTTGTTTTTGTACAGTATCTAACTGAACTCGAGCAAAGCTTGAGAATTGTAACTCGATCGATTTGTCGAGAAAGGGATGGTCTTGAGTTTTCCACAATTTCAGCCAGCTCGTTTACTGCCACTGGGAAGTGTTCAGATAGCCATGAGCAGGCAATGAAAAGTTACGACCTAAACTCTAAACCCCATTTTCACGCGTTGGTTTCTCGCGCCTACAACGATTCAGAAACAAGGGTCGATTCCCAGTGAGGCGATCGATTCCTACAAATTATCTCTTGATAACCATGGGTGCATGTATATCATGGGATAGATTAAATCATATTAACACGCCTACCAGTTCGTATACTGTGCCAATTGCGTCATTTAGCAAAAGTCTCTTAGATCAGAGCTTTGTTCAGTGCATGCCGCCCCTGTATCCGCTGCACCGGTCCAAGCGTTTATATAAATTTACTTACCTATTTCGAAACGTATCAGTGGGACTGATATTAATATTGTACACGGTCTTAATCGCCTCTCTCATGAGGGAACTTGCTAATAATGCTGCACACAAACTCGACAAAGGCTTTGTAGTAACGGTTGGGTTAAGCATATAGTCATAGTATCATATTGAGATCAACATCTGCCGGTTTCTTTCTTTCTGAGAAACACGCGTGTTTTGCGAGTCTGAGCAAACGGGTAAGTAGAGCGACAAAATGACACTACGTACGTTTGCCACTGCTGGTACAACTGCACCTGAAGTCATCGATAATACAGAATTTCAGGAATATCTCAACAGAAAACGCACCAATGCTTGGGTATATCTAGGTTGATCGCGGATAACGGCCTGTTACCACCTCATGTGGTCAGAATAGGATAAGCTTGGTCACCAGGTAACAGTAAATGGGTAGATAGCTGAGCTAACGTTCTGCATGCTACCTGGGAAAATAATAAAAATTTATTTGCTCGCAGTGGGGGGCGGCATCGAAGAAGGCTAATCTTTAGTTGCAATAATGACGAAACCTTGTCTGTAAAAATCAACAAGCTTTGGCTGCCCAGAAAAACTTTTCATACATGATGTTGGCAACATAGACATATACGAATTAAGCCGTTTTCTCCGACCGTTCATGATATAAGCTATACGTGAGAAGGATACGTTGTGTTCTTCGCGAGCTACGAAGCTTCACAATTTCCGCGAATTTTCTAACATTAAGCTGGCTAGGCAGATCAACGTTATGGCCTGACGTCTTAGCCTTTTGGTCGACAACCGGAGCATTGTTTGTGGTAGATGAAGGCTACTGACTGTCAACCTAAAAACGTCCTAAAGATAGGACTAATATACGCGTGATGTAAAAGGATACACTGTCTAGGACCTGCAAGCTTCCAGTCCATAAAAACGCGTGTGCCTTAGCGTTTCATGGGAGTCTAAAGTGCCGTGTGATGTTACGCAAACAAGATCACGACACAACTACATAATTTATGTCAGAATTTTTAAAAGTAAGATAAACAAACGACCAGTTTATAAATGAGCCATTTCAATTCAGGCAATTCTAATCGATGTGTAAAATTTATAAAAAATGGCGAACTTGCCGTAAGGCTACTATTCATATTTTCTGGTGCCTATCGTTCTAATTTTAAGCATTCGCAGCGATTAGAAATACCTAAATTAGCAAAACATTATGACACGTAAAGTTAGATGAATTCATAGACCTACGAGGTGCTCGGAGGGCATCAGAGTGCACCCTCGCAATGGCCCTGTCGAGGAGCTGGGATGCGGTTGCCGACTGGCGCAGCAGCTTGCTTATTAACATGAGTGTCACTCCGGAAAATAATTAAAGCCGGTTCGCTCATGTGTCAGCTTGTTAAATTAATATAAGTAGGGGAACAAATGTCAACGTCATTTTTGCCCCCACAAGGAAATATGGTTGGGTGCTTCATGTGCTTTCTATCGCATATTTTAAAAGTCCTTCTTTAAAAATAACTAACTGTAAGGACAGGAATGATAGCTTCGTGTTGAAGAAAACCTATTGGTTTTAGAAATGCTGTTGGTGTTAGAAGATTCACAAATTTGGATCATATTCTCAATAGCCTACAACTAACACAGCTAATCATATCAAAACCCAGAGGGAAAGCCAGCTGGTGTTCATGCAGACGAATTAAAGGAAAAAAACCCCTGAAAACAGTAATATCAATAGAAGATAACTGGAAGAAACGCTAGAACACTGCAATAATATCTGCAGAAGCTTACTGCAAACAATAGTCCGCTTGGTCGTTCTCTCACACTCAGACTCGGGTCGTTGGCACATCAACGTTATCTACATTCGAGCTAAATGGAAAGACGTAGTTGAAAAAAGGATGGTTAGTTACAAATTTTTCATCAATCTTTTCTCCTAGGCAGATTATACATGTTTATGTAGTTCGTAAAAACGTATCAATTTTGATAAAGTTTAAGTCGTCTTGGGCTTCATATCCTCCTGAAGGGTCAGCTTCGGCTTATCCCACGCATCGCATGGGCAACGGAGTATATGCCATCTTAAACTCTTAATACAAGCACACAAGACGAACGTAATCTTGGGTCTAAAAGCCCAAAAGGAACCACCTGGCTA